ATCAGAAAATTATATAAATTTAACAAGTAAATAGATATGGTATAGGCAAATTTTAATTGAAAGGCCAAGATTTTGAAAATTTTGAATAACGGAAAGTGGTAAACTAGATAAGAGCAAAATTAATGTCATACAATTGTGAAACTATATAAGTCAAATAGACAAAATGATCTTTCTGCTTTAAAATTTATTATTCAGAAAAAAAAAAACATTTTTCTTAAATTTTGATGTAAGAAATCGTTTGTTGAAATCTCAGAATAGGATAAAGATTCTTTAAAAAAAAGTCATGGAATTTTAATTTCAATCTAGTGAGGTAGCTATTTAAGATGCTTGGGTAGCAATTTGAATGTAGAGAACATAATTATAATAAAATAACATCTTCATCTTATACATTTATGGAAAAAGGGTAGCTTGTTTGAATCTAACCAATCTTACACAATGCTCAAACGAGCGCTTACTTTGGAAGTATACTTTAATTCGGCTACACTAGCGGGGTTGATTTTTTATTTTCTTCGGTATAACTTCAATTTACTCAATTTTCTTTGTAATATATATATATATATATATATTTTTTTGCACCTCATGTTTGCGGTATACCATCTTTTCCGCAAGTTTTTTGTTTTCTATTTGGTATTAGATTAAAATTAAGATCCATTTTGTTACATCTGTGATCCGTTTATTTGGCAATCGCCATGGCAGTCAGCAGGGTTTAAGAACATCCGTTGTTCGACCTGCTAGTCAAATGCGTTTTGTTAAAATATACTTTTTCACTTTTTGGTCTTTTGGAAAATGTTGTTTGTGTTGTATTTAGACCCCTCTACCAAGAAATTTGTTTTGCATGCACACGTATAAAAATAGCGGTTTTTATCCAACGCAATCATAGGTTTGAACGTTGTTTTCAATTTAGACTTGTATATATATATATATATATATATATATATATATATATATATATATATATATATATATATACATATATATATATATATATATATATATATATATATATATATATATATATATATATATATATACATGTAAACACTCAAGCATTTTACATTGCAATGAGTACAAAGTGTGATAAGTTTTAATATATGCAGCCTCCTCCATTTATAACAGCTGCTTCCTTTGAAACTTGAATAAGAAATAAAATAAAACAACTGTTTGCGTTATTTTGCAAATGTTTGCGTAATTTCGCAAAGGTTTGTGTTATTTCGCAAAGGTTTGCGTTATTTCGCAAAGGTTTGAGTTATAACGCAAAAGGTTTTTGTCTCATTGGAACTATATCTTAGACATTTCAGGTTTGCGTTATAACGCAAATGTTTGCGTTATTTCGCAAAGGATTGCGTTATAACGCAAACATAGGAAGAAATATAAAAAAAAAAACGTGTGGCGCTAATACGCTTCCGTAAGATTTAAATTAATACAGCGATCCTCTTACTTTGGTTGTGGTGATGGAAAACTTAAAATTATGTATACACGTTTGAGAATTATGTGCAGTTCTGCACCGTGTTAATATTTAACCCAGTCCCGCATGCAGCTGTGGCCATTCGGTTGAGGATAGTATTCACACATTTTTCGAGAGCCCCTTTCAAAATGAAACAAGAGAAATATTGCTTTTAAAATTAGAAAGATATGCTATATCAATTTAGCTTCTATTTGCTGGTGACGGTGACCTTTCATTTCAGCAAAATAAAGAAACTTTTGAGTCTATACAATCTTATATCAGAATTACACAAAGATGTAGTATATTCAATTAAAGTTCTGAATGCATACTTTCTCACACTTCACTCCAGTCCAATCTTATATAATATTTCATATTATATTGTATTTTTTATAGTTTGTATTACATGCATTCCTTTTATGTTTTTCCTCATTATATAATGTAATCTGTGTTTATATTTGTATATGGAGAGGACGTGACTAATGCTTTTATAACTTGTGTCCAATCTCATTTGCTACTTTTGCAAATAAAATATGTTTAAACTAAACAGAACAAACCACGGAAGCAAAGAAAACTCAGTTAAGGCTATGCAGTGGCGGATCCAAGGGGGGGTGGAGGGGTTGTCCGGGAATTGGACAATGCTTTTGAATGGGGATATCATGGGTTGGAACCCCCCCCCCCTTTTAAAAAGTTACGAGTTGATCGATTTTCACAATGTGAATTTGTCATAATTACTAATTAATGATCACATTATCAGGTACTTGTGTCTGTTTACCTATTTTCATAGAAAATTTTACCCACTAAGGGCTTGGACATGCACGCGAAGCACAGTGTGCATACCCGTTGAGAGTGTCTGACATATATGGAGCTAGCTATGGTTAAGATTAAAAAATGAAGATTTTTGTTTAATGTAGTAATAGCTTTAAGCTGGTCGAAATGTTGAAATTGTTTCACGTTTCCTTGTGTCATGTTTTGTTATAATTTAATATATGGTATGGGGTTTGCAAACTGTTGTAACTGGTAGAGTGGACTCTAGTTGTCAACAGCCTTGTCTTTGTTGGATAGTTGTCTCGTTGGAACTAATAAGACATATCCTTTTTTTATATTTACTACGAGACGTAACCTATAGCTTGTAATAGTTTTAAGCTGGTCGAAATGTTGAAATTGTTTCACGTTTCCTTGTGTCATGTTTTGTTATAATTTCATATATGGTACGGGGTTTGCAAACTGTTGAAAATGGTAGAGTGGACTCTAGTTGTTAACAGCCTTGTCTTTATTGGATAGTTGTCTCATTGGAACTAATAAGACATCTCATTATTTTTTTTATATTTACTTCGACACGCAACCTATACGGTTCCTGAACGTATATATATAGTATTTATCTTTGTCATCTGGAGCAATATCTTTTCCAAATGAATCTGTTTGAGGTATCAGCATCATGTTACATGGAAGGATTTCACGAATTAAAAAAAGAGGCTTAAAATTACGATAAAAACAACAGTAATGAAATAAAAGAATTCAACTGATTAATGAAATAAATAAAAATCTCTACAAATCACAGCGTATATTCATTACTAAGGTTACTAAAGTATTCGCCGTTTAAAAATCTAAGGATAGGTGATAATTTCGTTCTTCGTACCGAATAAAATTAAGATTACGCAATAAAATAGATATCCATTGCTGAGGATTTTGTTTACCTAAACCACAATTCACAAGAACGGTTTTGAAAATATTGCCCAGAAGGAATTTGATTCTTGAACGAAATATTTAAAAAAGACTAAATAAAGTTAAACGACGCTACATATGCAGCCTGGGTTCTGCTGTTAGGTGTCAGATCTAAAGACCTAGCAGCAAGATGAAAAATAGCAATGCAAATGGCAGTTCCTTTGATATATACTCAAGGTTGGTAATTTTGTTCGACCTGTAGATCATTTCATTTTGTTAACATAGACGTTGCGCACGATGTTGGTACCAATTCCAGTTTGCTGTAGATTAGCATGAAAATAAATACGTTATATGAAATGTTTTACCAGACGAAGTTAAGTGAAACGCTAAAACTGTTAAGAGATATAGACCTAAATGGTTTTTTTTGCATTGATCTGCGATCCTTAACCTATAAATAAACCGTTATCAAGCTGCTCAGATTATACACGTGATCTGTTCAAAAGAAATTAAAACTCCACAATCTTTCTAAATCTCGCGCGTGTGTCTTTATTTTTTAATATTTTTTTTCAAAATCAAATATACTATTAGATATAAAAACAAATTTATGTAAGAAAAATGCAATGATGAATTTAAGGATGTTTAATTACTCCTTTCATGTTCCTATCGAAATTAATAAAGGAACATGCCAGGCTTTTTAAGAAGGGAAAGCATTTTATATCTTTGCATGTTCCTATGTTCTAGAAACACCAATATCTGAATAGAACTATTCATTTCGTTCTGTCTTGATAAAATGCAATATAAATTGATAAAAAAGCCCCCTTTTTTCTCTCTTATATTCGTTCGTTCATGGAAGTATTATATATATATATATAAGAGGAGGAAGGTGGGTTATAGAAACATTAAACCGGTTAATAGAGTTTTGAATATGCATTAGATATTTGTCACTGGACGTCAGACAAACAATCAATTAATACAAAAGAATGCGTCAGTTTGGGTTACGCAATCTTTCAATTAATCATTATTGTGATTAAATCATACTATTGATAGAGAAATTCACAATTTGTTATATCAATTTAATAATTTGTTAAATCAAATTTATAATTTGTTAAATCAACTTTATAATTTGTTAAATCAAATTTATAATTTGTTATATCAAATTGATAATCAGTTAAATCAAATTTATAATTTGTTATATCAAATTGATAGTCTGTTTTATCAAATTATTAATTCGTTATATCAAATCGGAAAAAGTTAATTAGCATGGCCCTAAAAGGCTTCCGTTAAAAAAACCTGCTTAAGCGTGAATGTCTAATTGCAGCTGGATATTAAAAATATTCGACTTTGTACGAACATTTTAATTTTGCTTGTACCCGCTACGAAACCGGAGAAAAGCTCGGCGAGCATCGCTTTTAATTTCCCTGTGTTTGTAACGCTTGTACATGTATCAGAGACATACACAGTAATACAATATCACATCTCTCTGCTTGTACACATATATCTTACATTTGTCTACAATGTACATGTACGAATAGTGTATAATCATATGTAGTGTACGTTCTTACCATTAGACTCATCATGACCATAAGCAAAAATATATTCGAAAGAAACCGAATAAATGTACACCTACCGATTTACTCAGGAAAAGATTCTGACAAAGCAAGCAACAAAATAAATATTGATGGTCAATCTATTAATCTTTAATATATATTTATTACACAAAGTGTACCCTACGGCCAACTACGTTACAGTTAAGAATGCGCGGTTGACAATCATTTTATTAACTCATTACCATCGATCAGTCAAAAAAGGAGAAAATAAAATTATGATGACCATAAAGACGTTAAAACATATGATATATCGAGTGGTCATTCCGTTGTCAGTTAATACTATTATGTCCAGATCTAGATCATTTCTATTACTGTCCAATGGTAATCGGAATTCCAAGGTATGAGTACATTTTCATTTACCTTTTTTTTTTAAATTAAGTTTGTTTACTTGTATTATCAGTTTCAAAGTTTTAAAGAACGGTTTTGTTTTTATTCACTTATTCGAATCAATATTTCGACCACACTTGCGACTTATCATAAATGTAGTGCTTGACTTTGATCTTATATTTGTACCGCGGAAAAACGTAAACTCTATAAGCATGGTAAGTATATTTACCATGTAGGTTTATTGTTAATTATTTCATATTCATATCCATAGCTTATTATTCTAAATTCAGATTTTCATATATTAAGGGTTTTTTTTTTTCTTACTTTTTCTTAATCGGAATTTTTCAATGGACATACATGACAAAATTGATATGAACAGTTAGACGTTTATGTAGAAAAAAATCATAATTGATAATTTTTACATAGAAAATGTACTTAGTTTTTAACAATAATTCAACATAACCAATATTTTAACATTGATTGTATATGTGATTTATTGCAAATACTCCAGGCAATAAAATTATTTCATTTTCAAAAGAAATCAGAATAATATATATTCCAAAATCTAAATGTGATTTGATACCAATACTAAATTTTATTTTGTAACGTAAACTAAATATTGGATTTTATAATTTTTGTTATAAATTGTTTCACTGTAAATGTTTATTTTAGTATAATGAAGGGTTTTTTATTATTTTTTTATATAAAACAAAACACCCTTTTTCTCATAAATAAGCTTTCGTCGCGGTGTTACTTGTTGCAGATGACAATCAATCATTTAATGAAAAAATTATTTTCAACACTAGTTTCTTTTGTCAGAATTCGTCATCAATTTACGAAAAAAAACAAAACATGTAACATATTAAAACACGGGTTTCTCTGTCAGAATTCGTCAAACTAAATTATTTTTTTAAAGCATTTGTTACAAACAAACCAAACCCTTAAGCACAATTTCATTGTTTGAGAAAAAAACTTTAAAAAAAACAACTTTCGGTTTTCCGTGTTAAGGCTATAAATTTCAAATATGCTGATTATTATTTATAATACATGACCCACAAGTCAATGTACTAGAGTTCTATAATAAATTACTAGTACTTGCTCATACCAGACACGGAACACATGTATTCTGTTGTGGTTTCGTCATGTTTTTTACTAAGAACAAGACATTATATTTTATCTTTCATTTTTTTCTAGCATTGTTGAGGTTTTCTTATCCACCTATTGAAAAGAAATTACAACAATACATTTATTAAGTGTGTTGCTAATTGAAATGTTACTGTTCATAGTACTTTGAATTCAATTGAACCAGAATTTTAAACCGCTATACATGGATGATCGTTTTTAAGGTAAAAGGATTACTGTAACAATTCAAACAGCTTTTATAAGACTAATGTGAGTATAAGGATATGATAATGTCGTAAGCGACACAAAAATATTCTCCTTACACAAGCGATTCAACGATCATTTGAACTTTTTGAATCTACAAAGTGAAATGTCCGTTAACAGTGGAGGATCCAAGGTCGGGGGGGGGGGGGGATTCCGGGGGTTGGAACCTCCCCTTTTTTTTGACGATCAATGCATTTGAATGGGGACATATAGTTGGAACCCCCCCCCCCTTTTTTTTATTAATGGCTGGATCCGCCCCTGGTTAATATTAGTTTAGAATCTTTTAACTGATGCATGTACTTTGCAACTGAATCAGTAAAAAACTATATTGGATTGATAATAAATGAAAATTTCACAAGTTCTGATGTTTATATAGAATAATTTGAATGTTACAAACAGGTGTCGATGGCAAGTTCTATAAAATCGTCCCGAGTGTATATGAACGTTGTGAATAAATTTAACAGAAACCATATAAGAGCCGGCATAACGTATCAATTTCCCAGGATGAAAAATTTTGTCCTGCATTTTTTTTAAGTTTAAATCTCTGTCCTGCCTTTTTATTTTTCACTCTATTCGGTCCTGCATTTTTTTTTATTAGTTTATCCTGACTTTTTTTACATAAATTGTCATCCTGCCTTTTTTTTTTGCCAAGTTGCTCATCCTGCCATTTTTTTACTCAAAACTCCTGTCCAGCCTATTTTTTCAAATTTCATCTAGCCCCCCCCCCCCCCCATAAAAATCAAATAATAGCTCCCTTAAATAGACATACAATAATTCCCCTTCAGTTTCCTTTCGTCCATAGTTTTGTCTGAAATTAATGCCGTTTGTCTGAAATAAAAGGAAATATATGATAAGAAATTTATATCAGGGAGCTGCCATTTGATTTTTATGGGGGGGGGGGGGGGGGGGGGGGGGGCAGGATGAAAATTTTTGTCCTGCATTTTTTTTAAGTTTAAATCTCTGTCCTGCCTTTTTATTTTTCACTCTATTCGGTCCTGCATTTTTTTTTATTAGTTTATCCTGACTTTTTTTACATAAATTGTCATCCTGCCTTTTTTTTTTGCCAAGTTGCTCATCCTGCCTTTTTTTGCTCAAAACTCCTGTCCAGCCTATTTTTTCAAATTTCATCTAGCCCCCCCCCCCCCCATAAAAATCAAATAATAGCTCCCTTAAATAGACATACAATAATTCCCCTTCAGTTTCCTTGTTCTTCTTTCTACAGAGGTTGGTAGATATTTTATTTGAATCAATAATACTGCTGAAAAATATATGACATACTGTAAATATGTAAAACCATTCATAAAAATGTTTCGAAATGGATGGTTCATTCCTAGCCTACCACAGCTAGTTAAAGGGTGCACTCGACCCGTTAAAACTTCTGAAATACACTTAACGTAAAATCAAACATTCAGAAAAAAGGCAAGGTTTCTATGTTCAAGCCTTACATTACTTGTAATAAAATAAAGGGGGGGGGGGGGGGGGTTCTGATGAAAAAAAATTGTATTCACTGATAATGGTTCATTCTACTTGCTGTATACATGTATGAGCCACCATGAAATACATCCTTTTGAGATCATATTGTGAAAAAAAATAATAGATGGGATAAGGTTATCACAGGTCAAGCACAAAAAATTAAAAGGAAAATAAAATCATATCTGGAAGATTTGATAGACTGTAAAATGTATGGCATTATACATTGTTACGTATAGATATCAATATTACCTCATTATATGACAGGGCGTTTACAAATCAAGCATAGCATAGTAATGATCATGTCTTTTTTCTCTCAATGAAATAGAAAAACTTGCTCATAAATCAATGATGGCGTGTTATCTGATTTCTCGTTTGCGCTAGTCAGATGCGGATCCAGGATTTTGAAAAAGGGGAGGCGGGGGCCCCCACACTAGACAAAGTTCGGAGTGGAATAGGTAAATATCTGGATTAATTATAAACGTAGCTCCATAAGGGGGTGGGGTAGTCACCCCCTCACCCCCTTTTCCCCCGAAATCCGCACCTGCTAGTGGTATTGTTCAGTCTTTCTTATTTTCATCTTTATCTTCTACAAAAATTTTAAATACTCAGATTTCAATGAAACTGATATACTAGGAGAGGGTTGAGCGCTCACAACAAGTTTAACCCCGCCACATTCTTTATGTGTCTGTCCCAAGTCAGGGGAGCCTGTAGTCGAGTGGTTGTCGTTGGTTCATGTCTGTCATATTTGCTTTTCGTAAACTGTTTTGTTATAAATTAGGTCGTTAGTTTTCTCAATTGAATTGTTTAATTCATATTTTTTCATGTCGGGGCCTTTTATAGCCGACTATACGGTATGGGTTTTTCTCATTGTTGAAGGCCGTACTGTTGCCTATAATTGCTTAAATCCACTTCATTTGAACTTTAATGGATAGGTGTCTCATTGGAAATCATACCACATCTCCTTATTTTTTATACTATTTATTACATTTTTGTCTAATGACAGCAAAAGTGTACACATAACAGTATAAGCTAAATAGTTATAAGAGTAATAGCCTTAAACAGTGATTTTGTCATTTCGGTTATACATTGTTTTCAGTATTACTTTCAGATCTGACATGGATTGATTTGTGCCTAATAATTCTTTATAAAATTGGGGTCATAAATGCCTCATTTTTCGTTCATTGTTTTGTACATAAATTAGGCCGTTAGTTTTCTCGTTTGAATTGTTTTACATTTGTCATTTCGGGGCCTTTTATAGCTGACTATGCGGTATGGGCTTTGCTCATTGTTGAAGACCGTACGATGAGCTATAGTTGTTAATTTCTGTGTCATTTGGTCTCTTCAGGAGAGTTGTCTGATTGGCAATCATACTACATCTTCTTAATTTTATATTTATAGCAAATTGTTTAGAACCTATTTCAGTTTGTATATTTTTTAATTCAACTTTTTGTTGTTTTAGTCCACATGTTGTTATTATTCAATGACAACCTTGCATGCTGTTCTTAACACGTGACGTATTATTGATTTTGAGTTTTTATTTAGAGAGTTGTATTAAGGAAAATTGGAACACTTGACCTTAGTATGTCAACGAAGTCAACACCTAAATATTTGTATAAATTAAACCTGTATTTTTGTCGATAAATACTTCAAGAAGGTAAAGAATTATTGCTAACTTGACATGCATTAGGACATTAATGTCACATTTACTGACCAGCAACGCATTAATAATTAGTATATACTTTTCACTTATCAACGCTTTTGGTATACATCGTGTATATATGTGTATTAGATGTCATCTTTTAACCGTCACGGTGTTAAAGTGACAAAATTCAATCACATTCGGAAAACTGCAGATATGGGATTTATCTTAATTACATGGTTGGTCAAGGATGTTCTTTATGCAAACACAACGTTAAACGCCATACCATATGCATAATTAAAGAAGTTGAGTACTAGAACACAAAAAGATGATAACAAAAATGATAATATAAATAAAAACTAAATCTCGTGATTGAACTTTTTTTCATACTTTTCAAATACTTTTCTAAAACATAGGAGACATTACATGTATCAATTAAAGAGAGAAAACATGTAAGGGGAACATAGAATGAAAACATGTAAGGGGAACATAGAATGAAAACATGTAAGGGGAACATAGAATGAAAACAATAAGTTATTTAATTCTGAAAGTCATACAGAAATGATTTTAAAGCGATTTGTGTTATCTAATATTGTTTGTGAAATCTTCAAAACATGATAGTTTAATTATTTCGCCGAATGGTTACCTTATTTCACTTTTTTCCTATATACTCTGTCGAACCTCAGGCAAATTGGACAGGATACAAATTTCATGCTTTTAAAGTTTGATATAGAAATAAAACGCGTTTAGAAATACAACTGAGAGTTCATAACCCGAGATAAGATGACAAGGTGGAAAGTTTTACTTTTATAATTCGTTCTCAGAATAGGAAAAATTGAATTACAATAATTATAAAAATAAGAAGATGAGGTATGATTGCCAACGAGACAACTATCCACCAAAGTTCAAATAAAGTGGATGTAAGCAATTATAGGTAACGGTACGGCCTTTAAGGTGGTACCAAACACCTCGAATAAAATTAATTCGGCTCGTTTAATTTTCATAAAATTTTGACAAAATATTTACTTCGACCCTTTGACAAAAATATAAAAATTTCAAAAAACTTGAACCTCACACTGTATCGGAATTTTTTTTCATTGGATATATAGCAGTTTGACAAACACTAATTTTGATCATTGAGAAGCTTAATATTTCCTTAACAATAGAACGTGATTAAAACGTTTAGCTGATTTTTAAAGAGTTATCTCCCTGTAGTGTTATGTACCACCATAACAACGAGAAAACAATTGTTTATTTTATTTGCCAGATGTTCTACCATGAGAAAAATTTGCAGAAAGGACGAAAGATCGAGTTATAATACACGGATTTCGTCATTAAAGTTCAAAGGGTTCTTAAGCTTGTTCGTGAAAGCATTTTATTTGGAGTTATACATCTTACGAAATTTGCCGAATGTGATACGAGCGTGTTTGCCCAACAATGATGGTGAAGCTCGATATTTTTATCGCTTATATTTTTTTTCTATAAATAAAACCAATCTGATAAATGAGGGTCTAGGGTTTACGGAATAGAAAATAATGACCAAAGAGTGCAGAATAAAGGGCAATACAACTATATAAGAAAGAAGAATAAGCAAACAAAAAATAAAGAATAGAGAATAATGGAGTATTAAAACATAAATAATAGAGAATAATGGAGTGTTAAAATATAAAGAATAGAAAATAATGGAGTATTAAAATATAAAGAATAGAGAATAATGGAGTATTAAAATATAAAGAATAGAGAATAATGGAGTATTAAAATATAAATAATAGAGAATAATGGAGTGTTAAAATATAAATAATAGAGAATAATGGAGTGTTAAAATATAAAGAATAGAGAATAATGGAGTGTTAAAATATAAAGAATAGAGAATACTGGAGTATTAAAATATAAAGAATAGAGAATAATGGAGTGTTAAAATTTAAAGAATAGAGAATAATGGAGTGTTTAAATATAAAGAATAGAGAATTATGGACTGTTGAAATAAAAGAATAAAGAATAATGGACAAAAAAGATGAAGAACAGAGAAAATGGTCTAAAAAATTAGAGAATAGAGAAATGAAGACATCCAGTCCTTCATAAATTGATTTTTGCTTTTTATTTCAGATGCAGTTTGTGTTTTTTGTAGTTTCACTCTACATAGGCGCAACATCTGGACTGATAGAACCGATTCCATTGCCATCATCTTTGGAGGAATGCATCAATTATAAAGTTGACTTGAACAAAGGTTCCGGAGTGCCATTACATATTATACAAAATTTATGTTTAAGTAAATTTATTTCGTTTGAAACACCCCATACATGGGCTCGTAATGTGACGAAAGAGGAACAAAATTATATGAGGTCTCTCATTCGGAAAGTCATTTCCGAATCAGAACGCTCTAGTCGACATCGATTCAAAAGAAGCGTCTTGCTCCCTCAACGGATACGTCGTGAAATAAGAGCAGCACCATTCAAACAGTGGGATGACTATGCTAAGGCCGTGAGACGCTTGAAATTTGAAGAGGTTAGTTTATAATAACTCATATAAACAAATTATAAATTATCAAATAAACCGATCAAAACTCATGTTAATTTGATAACATAAAAGTTGTCTTTCAATACTCGTACACATTCATGACTAGTTTTCAAATTATGCTGCGTTGGTCCTATTGGAACGGCATGGATAAGGGTGAAGACCTTCAATACTAGTTTTTAAAATGGGAACAACCACTGATCGATTTACATTGATTCTGCAGATATTGTAAATTTTACCGCTGAAATGCAGAAAAAGGATATATATAACTTCTGGTATTGAATGATTTTCTTTTACTTTGTCAGTCCAGTTGCATAAGATATTTTATTAGTATCCGAACAATCGGATTGTTACTAAATACACATGCAAATAAATAATAAACAATACAAATATGTAACATTTACAAAAAATATTAAATTGTTAGACAACATGCCTCCCCTTTAAATTAGTTTAAAATGATTATATTAAGGAGAAATGCTGCTTAACTCTATTTTATTCTGAATCATTCATAGTTTAGATAATAGTAAAGAAAAAAGATATACACGTAAAATCAACAGTTTATACACAACTGCTAACATTGTTTCTGTAATTATACATCACATTTATTAACAATTATTATCAAAACGTCATATTCTTTACAAGAGAAAATAAAATTATTTTTTTTCCTCATTACTCATTGAAACAAAACTAGGAACAATATCATATATTTCATTAAATATTTTTATTCTAGAGAAATTGAGATGTGTAAAATTTTTTGCAAAATGGAATTCACCTTCAACCTCTATATTACATAGGGGGCACAATCTATTTTCTAAAGCTGTTTTTTTATACCGAAGGGCTTAACATACACCCTTGTTTTACCCCAACTGTAAATGGTGAACATTTCAGTAATGCCATCATGAACTTTAACTGTAAATAGAACTTATGTATACATATCTTCCAAATAAGGCCCCTTTGTGTTATATGTAAAAAGTTTGTAGAAATGGCCTCTCTGTTATAGTATCAAAAGCTTTTTTAAAGTCTATGCAGCAGACATGTATTTTTTTTGAAGATTTAAAAGCTTTGTCATTAATAGTTTTGAATGTTCAAATATGGTTTTTTGAATCCTATTTGATCATGGCAAATAATCTTATTAGATTCTAAGCATTTTTCTAAACGATTATATAGAACTCTATATAAATTTTTCCCAAACAACTAGAAAGGGCTATACCTTTGTTGATTGAAGGGTTATTAAAACAACATCCGTTGAATATGGGTTTAAATGATATTCTCTCCACTTAAAAGGACATATACCCGAAAAAGAACTCAATACTACAGAAACACATTTTGGATAGTTCAACCACAAACGACCTTAACAATAGCGGTAAAGAACTCATCTACCTGTTTTCCTTGACGGGGTTTTAACCTTATTATAAGTAACATTACATTACTTATAAACTGAGAATTTACATCTAAATACTTCATTTGAACCATGCTTGTATCTACGAGATGCAATTGGTACCCTCAAGGACTGCGAGTAACTATCCACAGGTATGAGAACAAACAAAAATGAAAACAAGGCGCTATAAATTTCATGTGACCGAAGCGCTTTTCAGGATTTACCTTCATTAGGAACGCCTTTAAGCCGAGTACATGTATCTAAAAGCCAATGATGTTTAAGAACTATTATTATTATACCGAAAATGCTTGAATTTCAATTACATGGCTATCAGCCGCGTGTTTAAATGTCACGTATCAATAAAAAGATAACGATATAGAGTAGACAGCAACTCTTCAACACAATAAAACAAAAAAGTCAGTTAGGGAGAAAAACACGGTCTTCATGAATATGCAAATGTACTAACCAAATGTCAACCTGGTAATCGTCCAGATGCTATACGAGTTTTGAACAATTTAAACAGACTATTAATGACCTGCATAGCTCTTTTGTAAATAAAAACAACAAAAGAAGAAACAACAACGAGATATAAAAAAGTTTGACGAGGTAAGTTTTGTCCAAGTTTTAGTTTCATGTGCAGTGTTTTGAATTTCTGTCTGTTTTTCTTGTTTCTTTTGGCCATGGCGTTATTTTTCTTTATTCTTCGATTCATGGTTTTTGATTGCCTCCGTTGTAACAGTAATACCATCTTCTACTTTTTCAACCCAACTTAATACCTTTACTCTTTCCTCTTTCAGATTGGACCAAGTGGTAGAAGCAGGTACGATACGATTGCAGATATTCACATGACAGCCATCAATTCATCACATTTTGGACCAAACTTTTTACCATGGCATAGATTATACCTCATAACGTAAGTAAACGGAATATTCCTTTACTTAATTATACATGTTGTTAAGGAAATAAATTATACTTTGCGCTTAAAGAAGCCATTGAAAGTTCATTAGTTAATCAAAATCGACAAAGGTTTTATGGCCTACAACGTAATACTGTTATCTGTCATTGATTAACACATCTACGTGTAAAACTTAGTCGGACAAAGTATTATTAAACTATTACAAGCAATAGAAAATCATGGAATCAAATGGCGAAATGAAATTAAAAAAATAGTTGTGTATATTTGTTTTCATGTTATGATATTTCAAAAGAATATTCAAACGTGTAGTTTAATGATTGCTTGTTTGGCTGTACCTGTACTTTGTATTTCAAACGGAATGGCACATCCTAATTTTTACAGTAATGTTGTTTACAGAGCCTTGAAATTTAGATACGATTTGCGTTCACTTATCAAGACTTTAAATAAACTTATTCTAAAAGGTTACCAATTGAACTCTGTAAATAGATCTTTGAATATTGTTTTTATTTGTATAAATATTGATTTTGTTGTCGGTAAATTAAAACTATCGTTAATATTATTGTTATACAAATATGCACATTCACGGTTCTACAATCTGTCAATACCTTTATTTTGGCATTGCACAAGGTTATGTTTTTCTCTGACTGTTGGTGACGTCTTTATACTAAATCCATTGGATGTTGGATGTGTACTGAATGATATTTTAGTATTAGAAAAATTACTTTTTTATCAGTTTTTTTTTTGCTTTGAACTAGTTGTTAGTAACGGGTAAAGGCTATTCCTCTCAGATCTGTACGTTGTGTCTTTTTGGTGTAAGGGATTTATAAATATCGTGCCACGTCCGGTCTGTGTTTTTGTTAGATGTTTTTTCTGCTTTATATCGATTTGATGAGTTGAGTCCTTATCAAATGATTTTTATAGTGTGTTCTTATATTGAACTGTTACAACACTATCCCAGGTTAGGTGAGGGTTGGTGCCTTTTAACCCCGCTACATTCTTTATGTGCCTGTCTAAGCCTGTAGTTCAGTGGTTGTCGTTGGCTCATGTCATTTATATTTGTCTTTCGTAAATTGTTATGTTATAACTTAGGCCGTTAGTTTTTCTCAATTGAATTGTTCATATTTTTCATGTCGGTGCCTTTTATAGCCGACTATATGGTATTAGTTTTTTCTCATTGTTGAAGGCCGTACGGTTGCCTATACTTACGTACATCCTCTTTATTTAAACTTTGGTTTATAGTTGTCTTCATTGGCAGTCATACTACATCTCATTACTTGTATATTGTTATTTCTTCTTCATAAGATTATGTATATATTATCCTAAAAATGCACATAGGCAACAAGAATAACAAAGAATAACTTCTAACGTACACCGACATAAGTTGAGGAAAATTTTAATGCAGCTGTTCAAAAATTGTGCCATACCGAGCAAAAACAAGCATATTTAAACAAAAGATAGCAATACAAAACATTAAACGTGGATTTTATCAGATTTTAGTTTTAGTTTGTTTCATGATGTTTAATTCTTATTATTTTAACGGAACCAAATTTACTGCACCGGAAGCGCATTTTGTCAATTAATGGCTCTACAGTGATGCTCGATCTAAAATAGTTACGAATGTTGAAGAGCTGGTACGACTTCGTTAGTAGTGTGCACTTTTTTTAATATCATGTTCGTCATTTAAGTAATAGATTGATAAATTAATTAATGCTAAACTTCCAGTGGCAAATATTACATGATTAATTAAAACAATAACTTGTATTATGATCATGAATACACGTCTTGTACTTAGTCTAGACTGACATGCAGAGCCAGATTGTTAATGAGATGATGTTAGAAAACAATTATGATATATGTTTGTCAATCTACTCTGACCCATTATTTTGATTCTTAGGACTTCTTAGTCAACCAGTCTGTGGTTTGACTTCTAAATTCCGCGTGCATGACCGAGACGCATAAATACTAATAGCAAAAATCTCCTTGTATTTATAATTTCTAGTCTTGGTTTGAGTCGGCAGGTTTATAATTTATCGATCTTCCTTTTAATATCGATTGAAACACCATGAATATACACATATTTTTATACATTTATAATTTCAGAATGGAGACTGCATTGGGGGTGCCTATACCGTATTGGGATTCGTCCATTGATTACGAGATGGAACATCCTACTAAGTCAATATTGTTTACACAGAAATATTTTGGGAACGGATTCGGTATGGTAAAAACTGGACCATTTGCTAAATTTCAAACGCCCTCTGGCCCATTGATAAGAAACATTGGAAGTGATGGATCTTTATTTAATAAGAGGGATTTAAATGCTATTTTCACCAGAAGCCTTCTATCTAAGATTTCAGAGCCGACAGCCGAAGAGAGGGTAAGCTTAGAAGGACAACACAATTCTATTCACAATTGGATAGATGGGCAAATGAACACGCAGGAGTTTAGTCCGCACGATCCAATATTCTGGACACACCATTCTTTTGTTGACTACATATGGGAAGGCTTTAGGAAAGTACAACATGCACGTGGAATTGACCCCGTACTAGACATTCCCGAACCACCAGAAAATGTCACATTCCAGAGTGGAAAAGATCCTTCAGTTGGTTTATTTGGATTTTATAATCGTGAAGGATATTCTTCGAAAATTGCAAAAATGGTGTCATATGAACCCCATCCCGAATGTCCAAAATGCTGTGGAAGCCCCGATATGTACTGCAATACCAGAAAACATGTGTGTGTAAGTAAGACAAGAAATCTAATGGAATATGAGGGAAATCGCGCAGAAGCACAGGAAATAGCAGATAAAATGATCGAAGCATCAACGGGAAGGCAACGTACAGTATTTTCGGAATACATGCGAGATGATCGAGTGCGAGGTGACTCCTTAACATTAAAAAAGAAGGCAAAATTGAGAAACCTAAGAAGGCAACTAATGAATGGAGGTGTAAACGAGTTTCCAGTTATTCCGTCCATATTCAATCGAGTTTCATCTTTAAATACAGAAACGATTTACCATGGACTTCCACAAGGATTCCCACCGATGAATAATCTTCCTCCTATACAAATCATCCCGTCTCCAGATTTTCGAATTGGAGGGTCAAATTTTCTGCCAAAGCCAACATTGGATATAATATATGGTCCGATACAGTTTGATTCAATTGTTGTTTATCCGAACAACGAAATTCAGACTCCAGGTCACCACTATAACAACGCTGGTCCGAAACACCCACCCTTTTCAGGTTACATGACAGATATGCTCACAAGAGGCGATTCTTTTTCATCAAGAAATCATGTTTTGCATTTGCGAAGAAGACGTAGTCTGTCTAAAAGGACAAGTACGTCTGCTAGAAACCAAATATGGAAACCGACCCTAGAAAATAGTTTTTTCTTGAATGGTAAATCTGACCTTGATGCATGGGCATTTGTTCCGGTCAAAATAATTTATAATAATATTAAAGAATCGACTTACCAAAACACATTGAATTTTACCGGAAGTAATACTGCTCTGCAAACTATACTCGGAGACAATATAGCAACTTGTGGGGCAAGGGTAGATAATCCACTGAAGATTTTCGTACAATCTCATGGACTGAACTATTATGGAAAATACAAAGACTTTACAGTTTATCAAAATACAGAATCAGCGCTGAATTATATCGCAATAAAAAAACCTTCCAAAAAATCAGTGGAGACATATATTTCTGCATATGATTCGTGTGGGAATACTTGTAACACAAGATGTGTAGTCCCCGGTGTTTATCCACCCGTTTATAGAAGTTGCGCTGGTGCAATCAGTGTTTCTAGTAAAGAACCTCTAATGTACAACGATGTTCTAAGCGCAGTTCGAGGATTGCCCGTTGAGGAAAACATTCCCATTATATTTGTTTGTGATATTCTGTGATAACTTCTTCAGAACGATTGTGAGCTAAAATACTGGATTACCGCGAGGCAATGAAAATTTTATACCGTACTGTTACTTGCGTTTCATAGTTTCTTTCGGTTTATATTCTAATTTTACCAGTGTTCATAGGAAAATAAAGAAATGAGTTTAGATTAAAATGTGCATCCGATTATATAGATGTGTCTGATTAGTCGAGTTGCGAACTTATGTGCAGTGAGGTGTGAACAATAACAATTGTTTGGCGTTTAAGTGATGCAGAACCAATTTTGTTTAAAGAATGAAAAAAAAAGTTTAACTGTGAATTGGAATGCACTCATGTTATGGCGTTTTAATTAGTAAAACATGAGCTGAAAGGGTAATTATTATATAATTATTCCAATTTGTTCCTAGATGAATGACATGAAATGGACAGTTTCTTATCATAAACCATCAATTACTTGTGTGAATCTAATGAGTGAAGTACATATACATGTATATATGATGTATAAATCTGACACCTACCCAGAATGAAGTACATGTACATTTATGAATGATGTATAAACCTGACACCTTACCAGATAAGTTTTTTTAACAATCTGTTGGTATCCAGTTAATAAATAAAAGTTACATACTGAAGGAAAGAACTGTTATATCAAACTCGCCCGAAGAGACAACACTAGTTTGGTATAGTGCAGAGAGAGTGGGGTTAGTTAACCTTATTTTGTTACAATCGCCTTTGTTTAATACGGACAAAAATTCGAATCATCATTTCATTCAATCAAAGCTAGCTAAAGGACAAATGGAAACATTGGATGACTGATTTCCTCCAACAACAGAACCGTATAAAAAGATACGAAATTAACGCATTTCTGTCGATTTACAGTTCAAATTATAAGATTCGTTAATAGTTTCTATATTACTGTATGAATATGAAATATATGGGGCTTCAAAAACATAAATTTAATAAAAAAAAATCATCTTTAGTTTTAAAAAAAGTATTGGCGGTCAAATCATGTGCACCAATGTGTTACGTTCATGTATGAGCTTGGTGGGTTTCAATCAAAAATCATTTATGAATTAAGATTGTTGAATTTTGGTCGAAAATTAATCATCACTAAGTAGCAAAACATTGTTTAGTATTATGCATTATTACATATTTTAGAATGTGTAGTTCAAAGTGAATTGAATGTATGAAATCAGTTAAAGACAGCACATTGCTGAGTTATTGTGTAACACAGTTTGTATTAAAGATGAGATTAGCTATATGTTTTCGTCATGCACGAATTTAAGAACCAATCCTAGTTATTGTATTTTGCAAATCCTAAAATAGACAAAATGAAAGACTTTAGTTGATGCATTGTAATGTATTTTAATGTCCTCCTCGTGTTAGATAATATTGTAATATTTCGGGGAAAAGAATCACAAAATATCTGATGTATAGCTGTAACTTACCTTCCTTCCAAATTTAGAACTGTTATGTCAGTTAAACTCCTAACAATATATTGATTTTCTAATTTCTGTTATTTCTTGACAATTTCAACATTAATGAATTCTTGGTTGTGATAAAACACGATTGTATATGGCAGAACTCTTTAATTTACAAGTAATGCAAAGAATAAATTGCACATGCATATAGATGAATATGAAGGTGATACCAAATACCTTGACTAAAATTAATTTTACTCGTTTAATTTTCATAACATTTTGACAAAATATTAACTTTGACCCTTTTAACAAAAATGTAAGAATTTCAAAAAACTTGAAACACAAGCATTATCGGAAAAAATTCATTGGATACATAGCAGTTTGACAAACACTAATTTTGATCATTGAGAAGCTAAACATTTCTTTAACAATAGAGCGTGATTAAAACGTACAGCTGATTTTACAGAGTTATCTCCCTGTAGTGTTACGTACCAACTTAAGATAGTATTTGTGAGTATTTATACACTCTGTCTTATTTGACATTTTAATTTTGTATATTTTTTATGTCAGCGTATGCTGCGCGGGTGATAAAAAAATATTGAAATCTTGATTCTTGTATATTATTTGATCCAGTTTTATAAGACAGACATTAAAAGAATTACCGACACCGTTCATGAAAGAACAAACAAATAAAAAAAAAAACAATGATGCAAGGGGGCGACCATAAGGTGTTCGGGGGGGGGGGGGGGGGGGGGGGATGGGGGAGGGGTTTGACTTGATATATGTATGGCATATTAATATGGGTGTGTTGCTTTATTTTTGTGTGTAAATTCGTACTGACTGTCTGTTGGTTTTAAAAATTGACATGACGAAAACAAGAACAGATATGACATCGGGAATTTTATGATTAAAAGGATATATAAGTAATAATACGTTAAAAAAAAAACAGCAACCCAACAACTCAATAAAACAGAAAACAACTCTATAGGATCAGAAACGGCCTTCAGCAAAATGGCTCTATTTTCCTTGTCGAGACAAGCCCTGACTAAATCTAACGGAGTCTTACAAGTTATCAATCAATTCAAAAGGAAATAAAAAAAGAATGTGTCTGAGGACACGAATGCCCCCACTCAAGCTTTGCAACGAAAATGGGACAGAAGGACGGAAACGAAAAGACCGAAAGATGGAAAGATGGAAAGACGGAATAACCGTCTTAGAACGGACTGTCAAGGGTAACACTTAATGCCTCTGTCGCCTACGACAGGGGCATAAACATAAACAAAGACGGCCACTGACGACTTTTGCGACTGATATTAGTTTTAGGAGTACTCAACTTTGCCACTTTTATCTGGATACAATAGTTGAATAGCAAACGGTACACGAGAGGACATGTAATTATTATAAATTAAATGCATATGGTGAGAGATTTTGCTCAATGTTGAAGATCTTACTATTACGTTGAGATGAAGACTAGCAAAAAAGCGCTGTTTCTTTGATTTTGCTTTTTTCCATCTTCGCTAGCCAAGGGTTACGATCCAGTCCCATCCTATCCACCCATGGCGGATTAAGATAGAATTTCGGAGACTTGAGGTAATTTTATTTCTATTGGTCGCAGTTGTAACTGGCTGCATCTAATCAAAAAGCACCTTTAAGATGATCACATGTAAATGTAGAAAATGTAATTAAACAATTACCACGTGCTGATTGGGCAACAAGTCTTTACCCCCAAAACGTAAGAACGATATTTAGTGACAATTTAAAAGTTCTTAATCAACTAATTGGTTCCTGGGTATGTTTCTCGCGCAAATGTTGGAATGTCAACAAATATTTTCAGTTCCGTTTTTACAACTCTAAACTGAAGAAAGTTCAAGTGCTGCCATTGGTCAAGAATGATGATGTCGAAATGGGTCGTGACTTTTATCTACCGGTAGATGGCGCAGAATTGAAATCACAAATGTTGGCTTAATCTGCCAATGGTGGAGAGAAGGGGACTGGATCGTAACCCTTGGCTAGCGAAGATGGCTTTTTATCATGTGTGCCTATGGATTTTGTGACATGATTTGATACACAAAGCACATTGATGCAGGCTCCTATAGATTAGATATTTGGAAACCGGTCTTTGATGAGACAATTGTATCCCAATATTTCTAACTTTACTGTCAATATAGGTAAAGGCGTATTTAACTACTTGCTCAGCTAAAAAAAATCATTTTTAGAACTTGGTCATGGTGTTTTACATTGAATTTTCGATCAAGACGAAAGATCCGATATTCAGTTAATCGTCTCGGTGGCTCAATAGCTTCAGTGGTTCAAAAACATATATTTATGATTTTGGGAGTGTTAGTTGACAGTATATATATAAGAATATTACATGAGTAGTAAGTAATATGATTTAAAGAATATTACATAAGTAGTAAGTAATATGATTTAAAGAATATTACATAAGTAGTAAGTAATATGATTTACAGAATATTACATAAGTAGTAAGTAATATGATTTATATCTAAAGATGCATTTATTGACATCCATCTTCTGTTATTTTGCTGCCGTTCTTAGCTGAAAAAAAGAAATGATATATTAATACTTTAATGCGACAAGTAATAAAAGGTAATTTCAATGATCTTTGGAGATATGGTCACAAGAAGTAATTTCTATACTAGCTGTTGTCATACAGTGCGTTATCTCCTGTCCACTAAAGTATGATGTAGATCATTCATTGTGCGTCCTGCTTTCAAAAAAACAAAACAAAAATGCATAGCATCATTGAAGTAACATATCAAGATGTTACATTCAATAGAGCGTTTGATATTTTAAGCACCAATTTGTCAAAGTCACCACATTTTTTTATATTTTATTTCTTCATAGACAGAAAAAATGTTACAGTCATTCCTAAAAAAAAGAAGACAACACCATGGACACAAAAAACTGCAAATAACAATAATAATAAACTAGCTGCACAGAGAATGAGCAAACAATGAATTCTAGTAACAAAAAATCTATTTTATATAACTTGTCACTAATTATAGGCTGGCATAAATGTATCTATATACAAAATCATGTGCTATTACTTTAAAACATTTTTGAAGCCCTGGCTTGAAATAACGTCATGGGAAGTTGGCCTTACTCTACCTCTATCTTGGAGCGAGCGAACAAGACCATTTTTTAAAAAATATGTACACACGGACGAAAAAGGGACTTAAAAAGAAGAACGCACATATCACAAAGATAAATAGAAGAATATATCATTGAATTTTTTAAGATTAAGTTTGTATATTGTATCTTTAAAGCATTAGGTATAATCGATTATTAATTGAAGGTTGCACTTCTGTAAATATAGACTATGCAATTTTCCTTAGGAACTCCTTTTGCGGCTAAAACTGTATCACTTTTACTATGACGTTTCGTAAAAAAATATATCATAGAATTGAAATTTCATATGCACTACTTTTTTTTTCAAAAGGTCAAAATATAGAGTTGTGTGGCATATTTTCAACATTTATATGCCACGAACTTCTTAGATTTTAAAATTATACTAAAATTCTGTACTACCCCTTCCTTTGCTTTCATTTTTTGGGTCTTCCTGAGAATTCAATTTCACTGCTAATCATGTCTGTTTATACTGGTAACATTCCCAAGTTATGTCTCTACGAGATGAAACATAGAGTTCATATCTGGCAACCAGTAGGTAAACAAAACAAAATTACTAGTATGAATATTATATATCTCCCCAAAAGAGGCGTTGTTTGCAAAACAGCTGTATTTACAAAGTGCAACGTGAAAAGGACACGAACAAAATTATAAGCATCAAAAACAATAAGTTAATCATTTCTTTGATATCTGTAGACCATACAATAATAGATAGTTGTTATGGCCAGGAAGAGTTTTTTTAAAGCTAATTTTAACATTAGTTCGAGATAGAATGCTGTTTTATTGAAAAGAATTAAGAAGCGAAAAACAAATTAAGCAGGCGTATGATTATGACCATATCCTTTCATAGACTTGAGATAACTTGTTTCAATCGAAAATGCATGTATCGAAATACATGTATTTAGTCTCTACGGAACTGTCATTTTTTGTTGTTCTCCAATACAAATGATATGGTCAATGTCTAAGGGACGAATCCAGTCATTTTTAAAAGGTGGGGAGTTCCAACCATTTGTCCCCATTTTAAAACATTGATCCTCTAAAAAAGGGAGGACCCAACATCCGGACCCCCCTTTTTGATCCGCCACTGATGTCTTTAACAAATTCCATTACTTCAAATGTGTTACGAATAAATGAACATACCATTGAACTTTCGTTTTTCCTTCATAGAACTCTGCCTTGCAACCGTTACAATAATTTGCTCTGAAATAAATTGATATACTACCCATTATAATTATTTGCGATTTCTGTTGGCGAGTAGCGCGCCAGTGCCCCTTACCCCCAAAGTTAGATATTTTTTTCTCGTATTGATCTATAAATCATAATCCATCCTTACCGTTTAGTAAAATGTTGATTAATTTATTCAAACACAGTACATGTCTACATATATGAAAACATGTGCTCTCGGTGACATGCAAAATACTAAGACACGAAATGACTGATTTACTCGTATTTATTTCTTATTTTAGCATCAATATAATTATGATTACGGATACTTCTTTTTATTATTTCATTCAGGTTGTAAATACATTGACCGTATGCACATTCAAGTTCGAACGCTTTTGTATCCTAATATAACTACAAAAAGAAGCATTCAATTTTTACATGTTGTCATGATAACAGCTAGATATTATGACAACCGAGTGAACCAACTATATGCGCATGGCATTAATAAAACTTGGCGATGCGCTTTCTTTTTATATGTTAGAAAAATGGCGACATCAGTGAACAACGTGGTTTAAGATCTCGTATGCAATAAAAACAACGTTCGAAGAAAAGGATGAAGAGCGGGGGAAAACCCAGGACGCAATCGAAAATAATAGTTAAAAAATAACAAATGATAGATGACACGATGGCCGAATGTTCCTTCTGTGAAGGAAGGACGTAAAATGATAACTTACTTGCATATTGCATATGGATGAGTATCGCATGTAGTTACAAGACAGGGGTCAACAAAACAGGAAGTGACGTCGGTGTCACACACGCCATTCACCGTCGCAACTGAAATCATAAAATCGTGTTACATCAAGAAGTTTGCATTGCTTACTTATATATATTATCATATGTACACCAACACTTATCACTTGATGTCATCGCCTTGGTGATCTTGTGGTGGCGTACGTGTTCGCCTCGAGTGGGTTCCAACATCAGCCAGATCAAACCAAATACTTTACAATGTGTATGTGTTACTTCTTCGCTAAGCACATGATTGCATTTAGAAGAAATCGAAAACACTAGATGGCTCGGAGTCAGAACAATGTGTGCGGGTAGGGTGACATGTCTTCTAAAGCAGGACAAATATTCTTATTACATTAACATGCTCTCGTCCTGACTTTGCATTATTTTCATTTGACGCTGAACGTTAAACAGCCATCCATCCATTATCATCATAACTTGATGTCCCAGTTTTCGGCGCAAGAATGTTTCATTTAATGATTTCTATGTTTTCTAGCAATGTGAAGTCTGCCATGCATGTCCATATTCTATCTCAGGTGCTCCGTAAGGGTAAGCAGTTTCTACTCCTCTAGTGACACATGTCACGTGATTCCTGTAAATAACGTTCATATCCAGTAAATCATCCGTCACGTAAATATTCTAACCCTTAAATTTGACCGTATAACAAAACCTTTTTTTAGGACAAATGATAGACAAGACTTTTACGGGCAGATACAACACAGACATATACAAATTTAAAAGTACACAGTAAAACACTGAAACCTAAAGCAAGAGCAATATGATATGATTTTAAACAAAACTAGTGGTGATCGCATGTACTCCAAACGAAAGGGTACTATGTAGCATATATATCATAGCGACACCTGTCGTGTTCTCCTTAGGTGATTTCACAATTGAGGAGCTAAAAGAGGGCCGGTTAGTGGTTAGGACTATTAGAATATGTCCGTAATCATTGGAGACAGATATTCCTTAACGGTCAACCAACCCGTCATGGCGCTAAAATAACGTTCGAATGGATGACTCCAAGTTTACTACTTAGAACTCTTGGTTCAGTAGCTTCCTTTCAACCAGTCAAAATCTGTATAGGAAATCATGATTCGAACTTATGTATCAAGGTATATACACATGTTGATGAGTTTCAATTACTTATAACAACACTGAATACGACTAAACACCGTTATACAAAGTGTGCTACTTGGAGAGCGTCAACTTCCGAAGCAAGGTTGTCGGCTCTCCGAACCTTTCCCGAAGTCCTCCGTTTAACACTGGTTGCCGAGTTTATGAGTTTCTGATCTTGTTTAAAAGTTGGTAGAGCGTAAGTTGCTTACACTTTGAGAGCACGCGAGTTCCTCCATTTTTGTGATGAAGTTTATGTTTATCAGTTTTTTAGTTTTCTTTGTAGCTTCTAAACCCCCACCCCTACTTTTCAAATAATTTAATCATTACGTACACAATAAAATAATTTGCTGAAAAGAACATTTATGAATAAAAAGCTTCTTACCAAAGACAAGAAAGAGCGAACAAATTAGAATTGTTTTCATGTCGTGTTGTTGATTCAGATATTTCTACTGTAATCGAAAAGTTGTGTAAGTGCAACACACCTGTATATCAGTGCAACCTGATAACGGACATACAAGGTTACTACACTGCTTGACACAGAGTTGACATGTTTAAAAAATTCCAAATTTTAATTAAGAAACTTTTAAAATTAGGTGGATGTTTATCTTGTGATTTACTTTGGATAATAAATGCTTTGATATCCGCTCCGGTTAAATACATTTTGTAAAACAATGCAAGAAAAAAAAAAGTTTTATAACAAAGAAGAAATAAGATATCATGATTTTTTTTTATCTATTGGCGCATTAAACATATTCAGTTTTTGAAAAAATGATAAATTCAAATCATTTAATAGCAAAAGTCTGTCTAACTAAAAGCAACAATTTGAAAACAGTTTTAACGCATACAGTTGTGCATAGCCTCTACACCTTGTGGGGCTTTCGTAAAAATGAATTAGAGTGTGATAAAAATTAACAGTAACGGAACTGTTTGTGAGGTAGACAGATAACTGTATAAATTTGGTAGTAAACTTAATGTTTATATTAAACTCTTCCCTTTTCTGTTGCAAATGCAGCCAGTTTGTTTGCACGACAAGTAACAGATTGTTAGAAAAACCTATTGAATTTGACTTCAGAGCACTGTCTATGCAATCATTAGTGTTTTCTGATATTTGATACATGGTAAAATAATATGGAAGTAGCTTCTGTGGAAGTAAGAGGGTGTGAATGGGGGTTTATAGAATAGAGAAAAATGGGCGAAAAAGTATGAAGAATAGAGAAAAATGAACAAATAAAATACAGAATAGAGAATAATTAGGTGCTCAAATATAAAAACTAGAGAATAATGGGCAAAAAGTATAAAGAATAGAGAAAAATGACCTAAAAAATTAAAGAATACAGAAATGAAGGACCCCCATTAAGACCCTCAAGTAAGTTTAGGATCTTAATCAGTGGCGGATTGAGGATTTTCATGAGGAGGTATAATGGGCGGTTATGCAAATTTCTATAAAGGAGGGTCCAGTAGTTACATACCAAGCGAAAAGTATTGAAATATTCTAATTTGTGGCAATAAAAGAGGCAGGTAACGCTCGTTCCTATCCCCACACACACTCACATACACACAAGCGTGCATCCGCCCTAGTGATACAAAGGACAATGCCAGAATAAGGCTACTCCAAATCACACAAAATTAACTGTTTACACAGAGATCTACGTGTTTCACCTTCTTTGAAGGAAAATGAAAATGACAATGTAAAGTCCTTGTCAACTTGTACAATGGATACGGGATTGATTGATTGTTGGTGTTTAACACTACTTTCATCATACTTGGCTGTATCAAGGCAGTCAGTTTGTTTTATTGTTGGAGGGATCCAGATTACTCAGAGTGAACCAGTGACCATCAGTAGGAAAACTTGTAATCCTAGTCATTTATAAAAGAGGCGAAAGATACCAAAGGGGCATTCAAAATCATAAGTCGAAAGCAAGCTGAAAAGTGTGTCTTTCTATGTTGTGTATTACACTATTGTTTCAGGTAGGGTGAAGGTTGGCGCCTATTAAAACGTTTAAACCCGCTGCATTTGTTTGCGCCTGTCCGAAGTCAGGAACCTGATGTTCAGTGGTTGTCGTTTGTTGATGTGGTTCATAAGTGTTTCTCGTTTCTCGTTTTTAATATAGATTAGACCGTTGGTTTTCCTGTTTTAATGGTTTTACACTAGTAATTTTTGGGGCCCTTTATAGCTTGCTGTTCGGTGTGAGCCAAGGCTCCGTGTTGAAGGCCGTACTTTGACCTATAGTGGTTTACTTTTACAATTTATGACTTGGATGGAGAGTTGTCTCATTGGCACTCATGCCACATCTTCTTATATCTATTGACAACGCCATGGCAAATAACGAAAAACAAACAGAAGACAAGCAACAGAATACAAAATACAACATAGAAAACTAAAGACTGACCAACACGAATCTCACCAAAAACCGAGAGTGATCTCAGATTCTCCGAAAAGGTAAGATAGGAGCTAAACGCACAGTGCCGAAGTGCAGTTCGAACTCACATGCAATGTTAAAACAGGCTAGGGTTAATTGTAGATGAAAAGCTTAGACCACTCTGCCCCCTAGAACCCCTTGTGTAAGGGAGACAACATAAAAAATCAAGTATATATTTCATAATATCTCTTACCAAGATTGAAAGTTCAAGTTAAGGCGAAAAGGACTAGGAAGCTTAACCGAATAAACCAATAAACAAACTTACTAGAAGTAACATCACTAAACTCACAAGACTGAGTTCTTATACACCTGCTACACACACTCATACGAAGGACTTGTCTCAGAAAAGGTTATTTGTACATTCTGTGAGCATTGCATAAACTTACACGAGTATTTAGTACTCGAACGTCCACAAAAAGCTGATTTGTATTCAAATTTCATGTAACATCTCACATCAAATATTTAAATACTTTTCTGTTTCACACATAAACAATTTGACATTTAAAAAACGTTCTAATGATATATAAGCCTTTAAGGTACAATTTCTGTCACGCGACATATTCACACAAGTCACGAAACCTTTTAAAAGATGCATATTATATAAATTAGAACAGAGTTATTCAAATCCAGATTCTACAACTAATTCGACCATGCTGATCGTTTTCTGTTTGATTTGTGTACTGTATAAAGCAACGTCGGCTGAGAAAAATGTTCTGACTTCCGCTTCTGAATCAGGTAATATTATTTATACTTATTTCTTATGAAACAAGAATCTTGAAATCTGATTGGTTAATTATCCTGGTGTAAATAACATGCAGCTCCAGTTCACCTGGGGATAAACATTTTGCATAACTTAAAAAAAAATTAAAAAAAATGCCAAAATAAAAAAGAGTAAAAAATGCGAAAGTTTAATAAAAAAAAAAAAAAAAAAAAAATTCCAAAATCTCCCCCCTCCCCCCAATAATTCCCAAAATCCACAATTCCTCTTAAAGTGGTAATAGTTGACAATGCGCATCAACATTGGTGTTGAAAAAAACAGGTGAAGTGGAAGTTCTGAATAAGAATTATTCAATTTTACATTCCGATAGTAAAGGAACGCTTCATAAGAAATAAATTCGTTATCTTGGTGTAACCAGGGGTGTATGGAATTTTACACGGTGTTGAAACTTCATACACCCTAAGGTGCAATAAAAACTCTGTACACCCCTGGTTAAAACAAGATAACTAATAGTATGTCGACCGCCTACCCTGGTAAATCTACCATGTAACATATTTCTATGCATTCTAAGGGAGCTTCCATTTGATTTTTATGGGGGGCTAGGATGAAATTTGAAAAAAATAGGCAGGACAGGAGTTTTGAGTAAAAAAAAAAGGCAGGATGAGCAACTTGGTAAAAAAAAAAAGGCAGGATGACAATTTGTGTAAAAAAATCAGGATAAACTAGTAAAAAAAAGGCAGGACCGAATAGAGTAAAAAATAAAAAGGCAGGACAGAGATTACAACTATAAAAAAAAGCAGGACAAAATTTTTCATCCTAGCACCCCCCCCCCCCCCCCCAATAAAAATCAAATGGTAGCTCCCTAATACAAAAATTGTTATTTCTATAGTAGAACGTACTTAAACTAAGAGTATAATCTATGCTTTCTTTATGCAGGTGTCTATTTTTATGGGAAAACAGCAGAACGAGTTATGAACATCTTGTTAAATGGAAACCAGCGAAATATTTTACCATCAGGTATGGGGTTATCGAGTAATTGGATATTTTCAAAATAGTCGCAACACGAATTGATTTGATTGTTTGTTTCGTTTATGTTAATTAGAGGGGCCTCGGTGGCCGAGTGGTCTAGGTAGTCGAACTACTGTATCACTAGCCAGTCAACACTGAGATTGTGAGTTCGAATCCCGCACGGAGCAGGTGCACTCGACTCCAATCTTAATTGACTAGGATTGTCAGTTTTCCTACCGAAGGTCGGTAGTTCTCTCCGGGCACTCCGGCTTCCTCCGCCAATAAAAACTGACCGCCACGAAATAGCACAATAGTATTGAAAGTGGCGTAAAACACCAACCAATCAATCAATCAATCAATAGGTTAATTAGCATGATCAGTCATATGATTTAAGGTATTTCTCTTAGTGTTATATTAATTCAGAAAAATGGTCTTCATAATTATAGAAATAAACTATTTCTTATTGTTAGCTCGAAGCTACTTCAGGTAAAATTTGGCAAATGGTTTTCTGGTTATATTATATGAATAAAAGGAGATGCGGGGTATCTGTTAATGATATGGCAAAAAAAAAAACGATATACAAAATTAAAAGACAGCTAAACAGTGTCTATGATTCATTTCAGAATTAAATTCCTGATTTTATATTTCTATTGGGTTGTAAAAGCGTTGACCGAAGCATATTTTGTAAGAATCGGGGAAGCGGAAGATTTCATACTAAAAATGTGAGCACGATCAACGCTTTTAAAACACTATGAAATTATAGAAAAGTATTCAATTCTTATAATTACATTATTTTGTATGCTACAAGAGTTCCAAGTGGTTAAGTTGGAATAATCCCTTCTTAAATTTACGGACGCCATTACGAGTTGGTTGACCGTTATGGACATCCGTTTCACAGATGATAGCGGATATGTTCCAAATGTCGTAACTACAATCTCGTCCTCTTTTCTCCGTATTACGGGTTTGTACCAATATGAGCAACATGAAGAGCGCCACATCAGGATCTGCTTACCCTTCCGGAGCACCTGAGATCACCCTCAGTTTTTGGTGGGGTTCGTGTTGCTCAGTCTTTAGTTTTCTATGTTATGTTTTGTGTACTGTTGTTTGTCTGTTTGTCTTTTTCTTTTTTAGCCATGGCGTTGTCAGTTTATTTTCAACTTATGATTTTAGATGTCCCTTTGGTATCTTCTCGCCTCCCTTCTACGATGATAAACTTTAGAGTTAAATGAAGCTTTTTTTATGCATTGTTTTAACATTGTCGTGTATAGCATGTGCAGTGATAGCTGTTGTATTTTATACGGAATGCTTCACGATGGCTGTCAGCCAATCAAAATCACGGATTTTAATGAAACAAACACATACTGTAGTTATTATTTTATAAAGAATCATTGTTCTTTCATGTAGTATCGAGACCAAAGGACTGCTCATATCTAGACAAAAAAATTAGATAAAAGTGGTGTTTACAAAATATATCCAGATAACGGAACAGGATTTGACGTTTTTTGTGAAATGGAAGTTGACGGTGGTGGCTGGACGGTAAGCTTTTTGACATTTATCGTACTTATTTAAAAAAAAAATATTTAGACGAAGAAGAAAAAAACTTATAAAAAATAGTGCTGTATTTTACATTGTAAGAAAAAAATATTTATGAGATTTATTGCTTGCTCTGGTTTATGTACTTTGAATAACACATGCAACGGTACTGGTATAATACAAATGTGACGCTAGGAGTCGCCTTGATTGTATGTAAAAGGTAAACCATGTGAGTTATTTAGTTGATCCTTGACAGATTGATAAATGTATTATTTGTTTAACGTTGCGCAATGTCAGTGCACATATCGTTTCGAGAACCAATGTTGTCAAAATAACAGAATCAAAAGTCTGTCGAAAGACTCGTCAAATAGATAAAAACGTTGTTCAGAGATTTTCTAGCATCGGTTAATAGGAAGATGAGTAAAATTTAAAGAAATCTGACAACGCTGCTTTCTGTAGTTTGTTGCTTGTCTATCAGGTTTTCACTCTCTGGCCATCATGGGCATGTTGTCTATTTTTATTCGACTTATGGTTAAACATTGCACCCTAGGTATTTTATATCTCTTGATAATTGATTGTTTTAAACAATCTTTTTTTGTTCTTCTCCAATTTTGAGTAATCAGATTTAATTTAGATTAAGTGTTAAAGAAGTAAAAATATTATTAGATATACCAAAATCCATAAAATCTATAATCAAATCATAATCAGCAAAAATGCAAGTGCACCGAATTGTATACCCATTTTACAGTATATTAAAAATATATATATATATATATATATATATATATAATTCAATGAGTTATGACATTTATAGATATACGTATGAGGGTATATAAGTTTGTGTTTGCCTACATTCACAGGTTTTTGTAAACAGAATGGATGGATCCGAAAGTTTTGATAGGAAATGGCAGGAATATGAAAATGGTTTTGGGAATTTGAAGAAAGAGTTTTGGCTCGGTAAAGTTTTTTTATGTTTGCCTACAATAACTATATAATTATGTGACAGAGGGGCAACCAATATTTGTATATGACTTCAGGAGGAGGGGATTGAAACCTAAATATGTTGAACAAGAAATCATTTAAAAAGAATATAATGAAATAGTAAACAGTTCTCCATGTCGATTATATAGTTTCTCGTAAATGTTAATTGTTTTGTAGTTTTTCTCGATGGATTGTTTCACATTTGTTATGCCGAGCCTTTTAAAGCCGACTATACGGTATTTTTTCTCATTGTTGAAGGCCGTACGGTTGCCTTTAATTGCTTACATCCACCTTATTTCGGTGGATAGTTGTCTCATTGGCAATCTTACCACATCTCCTTTTTCTACAACTTATCTTGTGTGTATGAATCCTTTAATGCCACATGATTTAACTGACGCTTAGCCTTACATTACACACACCTTTGTTCATGCTGATGAAGTTTTCATATGAACGATAAGTTCAGCATTCATGATTAACAAACGATACATATGTTAAGGTCTCTTCAGTGATGCTCCAGGCCAAAACATTTGAATATCCAAAATCTAATAAAAATGTTGAAGAGTGGATCAATCAAAAAAGTACCTAAAGTATGGCCAAATCCAGACAAGGAATCAGAGCTGTCACAAATTTTTTTTGTCGTTCATTTTTTTTTTGTACATAAATTAGGCCGTTAGTTTCCTCGTTAAAATTGTTTTACATTTGTCATTTCGGAGCCTTTTATAGCTGACTATGCGGTATGGGCTTTGCTCATTGTTGAAGGCCGTACGGTGACCTAAAGTTGTTCATATCTGTGTCATTTGGTCTCTTGTGAAGAGTTGTCTCATTGGCAATCATACCACATCTTCTTTTTTATATAGACCACATTTTTTTCTAATTGTACTGCATCTGTTTTGATATCAACACAAGAACGTCCTCTTCTATTAGGAAAATATTTTCACTATAATATTTTAATGATAATTTTATATTATCTATCATGGCATGAAAATACGGATATTGTTTCATTAAAATATGCTGTTATGATTTGTTTTAAATTAAGGAACATAAATCTCTGATGAAAAGCTCTGATTCCTTATCTGGATTTGGCAATACTTTAAGTTCTTTTTGGATTGATAAACTATTCAACATTTTTAGTAGATTTTGGATATTCAAATGTTTTGGCCTCGAGCATCACTGAAGAGACATTAACAGTCGAAGTGCGCATCTGGTGCATCACTATTGGTAAAGTTTATTATATTATAGCATACTATAAAAACTCAGCAACACAATTAAACTCATAGAAGACGGAATATATTATTCGTTTGACCCAAATCTGATATTGCCTGTAAAAGACCAACTTGAAGTAAACAAAGTATTTTTCATAAATATATCGGTAATGGTCAAATGGGTTTTCCTTTCGTTAACTAAAAAAATTCCCTGTGTCATGTTGGATATGGTAAGACATGCAGTGTTGTTTTATATTATGGATAAAAAGATATGTTGGGTATGATTCAATTAGACAGCAACCTGAATATGAGACAGGATAAATGTTAGTCTTGGAAAAGAGATTTTTACTAATTGATTCGCGTTACTAAGATTTTTTGTATGTTCAGAATTTTGGACTGTTGTTTGTCTTTTCGTCTTTCCATGTATGTTGCCATGGCATTGTCAGTTTGTCTAAGACTTATGAGTTTGCAAATCCCTTTGGTATCTTTAGCCTCTCTTTCAATTCTATCATTTTAAAGCCTTATAATCAATTATGACATCACATAAGATTTTTACAGTAACGCGACAAGTATCACAAAGAATGGCTGTCCCTTCCAGAGAACCTACGCTCGTCCTGGGTTTTGTATGTGTTCGTGTTCTTCAAACTTTTAGCGTTAGTGAAGTGTTGTTTTTGGAAAATCATGATATCTTAGTCTTTGACTTCTTTTCAATTCCTTGCTTAGCTTGGTATCTAATTACTTTTATCGAACGATTTATTATTAAAAAAAGAGTATAAATAAATGCATGTATGTCACAGACTTAACAAGATATATATTTCCTAGGAAATACGAATCTCCATCGACTGACATCAAGGGTCAAAACAGAAATGCGGGTTGAAATGAAAAACTTTAAAGGAGAAAAGAGATTTGCTAAGTATTCCACGTTTAAAGTCGGAGATGCTGCATCAAAATACAAACTGACAGTAAAGGGCTTTACCGGAAACGCAGGTGAGAATTATTGGTTTAAACCGTACAATTAGTACACCTGCCTCTCAACTGATGCATGAATAATTGATATTCTCTGAACACAAACGTGTAAGACAGAACGGCGATTGCGACTTAAAGATTACCATAAAATTGTACAACTAAAAACAATCTGGTAATTTCCAAGCACAATTATGACGAACAGATTCATAAGCATCAGTGAACCTAATATGCCAGCGACATTGTTTTGGGGATTTGAATTAGGATAGATTGCACTGATGTTGCAAAAGGTCTCACTGCTTTTACATTTTCGTAATGTTGTTGGAAAAGAATGATGTTGATGTAGTATGTTTTTTTTATAGAATTCATTTTTATTTTACCTTTTTGATTTCTTCATTCTTTTGTAATTAATATCAAAATGTTATTAGCGTTGCTACATACAGATTAGTTTTATTAAATCTTGATTAAGGATTTTAACTTAAGTTCGTGCTAACATTCTGATGTTTGGGAATTTTTGTTCGATCTTTTGCCGGACGGCTGCTGTATAACACCCATTGTCGTGTTCAAAGAATTTAACATACACTATTTAGTTATCAAGAAATGTTCACTGGTGAAGTAAAATTGATAATATTTATATTATAGGAGATGCTATGAAATATCACAATGGACTTGCTTTCTCGACGAAAGATAAAGATAATGATAGAAATAGAAGTGGTAACTGTGCGCAAACAGGTGGTTGGTGGTTCCATTGGTGTGATCATGTTTGTTTCACTCTTTATCATAGACGAAATGGTAAAAAAGGGGAACAACTCATCAAATGGGAGACTTGGAAAGATTCAATGTATTCCTTAGAGACTGCTAGCATGATGATCCGTAGAAAATGAAAAAGCCTCATTTTAACATGAATAAATAAAATATTATTTTTGTAAATTAAACTGTCTTTTTTTTTTAGTTTATTTGATTGGATATTCATAGGTTTGCTACTTTTATCAGTCACAAGATATAATACTTTAAATACACATATGCTAACATGACATAAAACTAAAGCATTACAACTGCTACTTTTTCTAATGGCATTATTTCGGTCTCAAATCGCAAGAAAAAATCTAGAATCCGCTTAATTTTTGATAATGACCTTTTTATGATCTATTGAAGTCTTCTATGTAAAGAAAAGTGGGTATTATGGGGAAAAATGTTACCCTGTATCGTAAGAAAAAAACAAACGAGTCCGAACATCTGAACAATATTTCTAAACCTGACCTGAGTACATCCTTGTGCAGTCCTAATGAAGTTGTCAACCGTAAAGTGAATGATTGCATTACATGTATGTTTAATTAGAATCCGTAATTTTGATTGGCCGTCAACAATCGTGAGAAACTTCTGTATAAATTTCAAATTCAACAGCAATGACTGTACGTGCTATCCGTGACAATGTTTAAAACAATGCATAGAAAAACAATCGAAAAGATTGACACAACTCTCAATTTGAATGCATGGTTGTTGCATTAAAATGAAATTTTAAGAATTGAATGCTTTCTTTTATAATTTCATAGGGTTGTAAACGCGTTTATCGTGCTTACATTTTTAATATGAAGTGTGCTTCGGTCAACGCTTTTACACCCCAAAAGAAGCATTCAATTCTTAAATATTTACCTGCTATCTTTTATATAAATGTCGAGAAACCTACTTGTGTCTATTTTATGATTTTTTATAAAAAATAGAATAAAAACCTTGAATTATTGGTAATAGAATGCAAACACATAAGATAATGTTGATCTTGTGTACATAATTTAACTTTTGGTAATGCACAAGGTCGTTTTATGTAATTATTTTTTTTTTTTTTTTTGTTTTTTTGTTTTTGTTAAACTGTTTGAGTCGTTGCTGTTTAAAACCTTCCAATTACATCGGCCAGTATTAGAGCGTAATGCGATATTATGTCTATGCAGTGATTCTTCAGGCTTAAATTCACAGTTGTAATTCATTTATTGAAAAATTAAGTGTATTATTCAGAATTATTGTACGTTTTTATTGTCTTACATTCCTGTGATATTGATTTAATTGTCTTTCTTATCAGTTATTTATCTGTTTACATATTTGATGCTTTATAGAAATAAAACCTTTTTTTAATCTTTTTTAAATGGAAATTATATGGCCTAAGTGTAACAAGTCATAACTTTAAAGTTGAAATTTGATAAATATTTCTTTTATTTTGAATTTTATACATTGTTGGGAGAAGACACTTTTTTTACTTCTTACCTTGATCGTGATTGTAGGTGGCTTGTGTGGTCTTTTTCGAAGTTGTGTTTGGTAATTCCTTTTCATTTATTATTTGAATAATCAAGGTAATAACGTCATATGGAATGAAAAGTGATTTACCTATATATTTAGGAATTCGGAATTGACTTAGAGGTTACGAATTGTAATCAAATATATTAATTTCATCCCTCAATAAATTCGAAAAAAAAAATGATGTAGATACATGTAGCGATTTACTTATTTTGAACTTGTTACATTACAACAATTGCAGTCATCAAGGCAAATGTACATTTTCCTTCAGATTCTTTTTTCTAAGTTTTTTGTATGTTTCGTGTTAAAACAGAAGCTTGGACGAAAATATACTGATATATTCGAATTAAAAACTCACCTATCGTCCTGATTCCTAACATTTGTAATTTGATGACGTGGTGACAAAATAAAAAAAAACTCACATGCAACGGCACTGGTATAATAAGAGTCGCCTTTAGTGTAAATAATAGAAAAAACAAAACAAGCTATTTAGTTTATCCTTGATTGATTGATTAATGTATTTAAGTAAATTTAACGTTGCGCAACGACAATATGCATGTACATGTAGGCTTTATCGTGGCAAGAACCAATTTTGTCAAAATAACACGATCAAAAGTCTGTCAAAAGACTCATCTTAGAGAACAAAATCGTTGTTGAAAGATATTTTAGGAACGGTTAAGATGATCATGAGAATGATGATGGATGGCTGTTTAACGTCAATTGACAAATTAGATGCATATTTAGGACAAGAACATGCAAATGCGATATGAATATAAAACCTGTTTTGTAGCGTGAAATAGGTGTAGCTGTAAGGTAAGTGTCCTGATCATGTGTTTTAAGGACGTTACAGGTGTTGTGCATAGCATTGAATTTGACGTAAATGGGAATAAACAAGGCGTACATTTTGTTACGGGCTTTAAATTGTTGGGAAGTCGCAAATACTGACAACCACAGGTATTGATGAAGAATAAATTGGTAAAAAAACAATATTTTTCGTTCATCTTGAAATTGCCATTTTACTTCCAGTTCGTCGGTTTATAGGGACCCTTCTCCTCTTTTATGTTAGCAAAGTTCATGCCACACCCGCAAAAAAGTTTTAATACTTTTGTTTTTCAATATTTACAATATAAATTGAATTTTACGCTTAGTACTTTCTACTTCTAATTATAGACGGCATTGCGGACGTGAAAGAAAGTACTATCACCAACGGTTTCGAAAATTATGAACTTTCAAATGTCGAAAAGTGATTATCTAGCATGAATATCACATTAAGAATATCAGAAATAAGCATGATATAAAAGTGTTTTTTCTCTTTAATGGCGAAAATTAAATAGTATGTCAGTTGTTTTGCGATACGAATTTATTTCTTTTTATGCAACTGTATTTTACTTTGCGGAATTTCAATATATGAAATGAAAATAAAAAAAGTACCGAACCTTATATATAGTATAAGCTTTAATTTATTATATTGCGTGTGTATGTGTTTGATATGCGTGTGTTTATAATTTTACTTCATTTTGTGTTCACGGCCCATATCAACATGGAATTATTTTTTTAAGTCCCTGATCTGTGCCGTTTTCCAGTGTTTATAAGTTAGTGTAGGGACAGTTGCAATAAGGTATATATAAGATACGTCCGAGACCTATCTCTTTTTCTGTTATAGAGTTGTGGAGAAACAATGGTGCATATCAGTTCTTACAAGCTTTTAGTTGGTCAGCCAATAAACTCAACTTAACCACTCTCAGACTATCACGCCATGCTAAATTATTTTCATTTTCTTGGGAGAGAAGATTTGTTTCACTAGGACAACAAATTTCATGTACAATAACTACACTTTTTGGTAATTGTTGATGAAGTGCATTGAGTACATTTCCACCGTAGTTGTCTATTTTTCCGACGAGGCGGAATCTCCCGACATCTTGAAAATATATGTTTGTCTGGTTCTAAGGGAGATAACTCTCATAACAGCGAACGTAATTTTTCCCGTTATCCGTTAGAAGCGCTGATTTACGTACCTCTCACCTTAAGACAAAAGAGATGCTTTTTCATTTCCCATTGTTAATTATCCATTTTTAGACGTTCCCTTGTCACCATATTATGGTGTTTATATATCTCAACTTGTTCGATTCTCTCGTGTTTGTAACAACGTATTTGATTATAACGAAAGAAATGTCTGTATTACTGAAAACATATTACACCAGGGTTTTCGATATCAAAAACTAGTCAAAACATTTACTAAACTTTATCATCGGTACAAGGACATCATTCGTTGTGGCACCGTTAAAGTCCACAATTCCTCTAAAGTCCACAACACCGCTAAAGTCCACAACACGCTAAAGTCGACAACGCCGTTAAAGTCCACAAATTTTCCGCTAAAGTCCACAAAATGACCTCTGCTAAAGTCCACAAAAAGCACCGTTAAAGTCCACACATTTTTTTTTATAATCAAAATATCAATTCGCTTTTTTTTAGTAGAGTTTTTCGATAGTATAGATCTAAAAAGAAGCATTGACTTTTGTTCTTAGAAAGTATTTCTTATCAGCTTGAATTATATTTTGATAAAATAGAGACTCTTAAACAATAATGTTCTTGTTTGAAATCAAAATATTGATAAAGAATTCCACACAAGTATTTTGTGGTGCTAAGCAGATTTCCATCACTCATTGGTTTGCATGTTTGTTTGGTTTTCAAAAATGAAAATGTATTTGTTTCAGAATGTGTTGAAGATGACTTGAATAAATAAAACGCGGATGCGGTTCTGTATTGTGTCTTACCCATGATGAGTACAAGTATAAAATATTTTATTTCAACAATGCTACATGTATATGTTCCAGAACATATGAGTAATATAACTATTTGGACCGTATAAGTATACTCGTACTGTCCGACCATACACGTACGGTTGGACCGTATGAGTATAGTACGAGCTCGACCATACACGTATATTTTGACCATATGGGTTGATTTTAGACAGGCATTTGTTAAAATCTTAAACTAATATTATTGGAATTACATGAATAAAGTGAATAAGCGAACATTCAATCAATTGAAATGAATTATTGTTTTTCTTTTTGGCAGTCTCTCCCACAAGGAACATTAGATTTTTTATATTAACATGATTTGTTCATGTCTATTCCTTTCCATTTGCTTTTTTTAGTAAAGTTCAAAATATTCTAGAAACTTTTCTTTCCACATTATGTTTACATCCAACAAATGCAATGTCAGCGAGCATTATTCAATTTCATGTATTACTGACATGCTAAATACAGGAGATTAACATATTAAATGAACATGACTTTTTTGAATAGTTAAAACTTTAAGTTTTTATTTCAATTGCAATTGAACTTTTTGTATAACTCTAACATATCAGTTATGTTGATCTGTAATGTACATTTGTATCTAATACACTTGACTAACTTCTTAAAATTAGGCAGACCATACGTACGCGTACGGTCCAAATACTCATATGGTCTGTAACATATATGTTGTAGGTCACTGTAAAACAATTTGAAGATGCAAATTTGATCAACACACTCCTAACTAAAATTGGCTGAACTTGCATAAACTATGTTTCAGATTAAGATGAGAAAATCATCTGACTCTCATACCACGAATTTGCAGAGTACTTTAAACAAGACATTTGAACACT